AGGGCCGTGAGAGAAGCTGCTTTCCCTGGAGGAGAACACGCAGAAAGCTSAAAGATTGGAAAATCCTGCACTCAAATCCCAGATTACCCAGCTGCCACACTAACCCAGTAGCTGGGAAAGCTGCTCTGGAGCTTCTCCAGCCTGGAAATGGAGAATGGGTTGGAAGGGACCTTAAAGCTCATCCCTGCCTTGGATAGGGACACCTTGCACTGTCCCAGGGTGCTGCAAACCCCACCCAGCCTGGCCTGGGACACTTGGATGGGGCAGGCACAGCTCCTCTGGGCAGCCTGTTCAACCCAGGGTGAAACAGCCTCTTCTTCCCCCCCGGGAGGCTTTGAACCCTCTCACTGATCTGTGCAGGCAATTTGACTCCAAAGGTTCCTGCAGCATTTCAAACCAAATCAGCTTTGAAAAATCAGATTACAGCTGTGTGCAGAGCCCTCCTGGCTGAGCTCCTTGGCCAAGGGCAGCAGCACAGGGTCACTCCATGGCCTGGGGCTCAATAGCTCCATGGGCACAGGGTTTGGATCATGGCACAGCAGCCCTTCCCACTCCTCACTGAGCCATTCCCACTCCTCACTGAGCCCTTCCCATCCTCACTGAGCTCTTTCCATGACCCTGCAGCCTTTTCCTTTCACCTGTTGCTCTGTCTCTTCTCTGGGAAACACGAGCTTTGTTCTGCCAGCTGGGTCAGGGTTTCTGGCTCATCATTTTACTTTTAGGATTTTATTCAATTGTCTTCCAGGGGCTGCTTTTGTTATAAAATCTTTTTTATAATGGATCTTTTCTTTATAATTGGAAAGATTTATTTAGCCAGTGCCTAAAGGGGCTCCAGGAGAGTTGGAGAGGGACTTTGGAAAGGGATGGAGGGACAGGACACAGGGAATGGCTCCCAGTGCCAGAGGGCAGGGATGGATGGGATTTTGGGCAGGAATTGTTCCCTGGGAGGGTCACAGGGTGCCCAGAGGAGCTGTGGCTGCCCCTGGCCCCCATTTCAGCAGTTTCTGTGCTCTGAACTCGTTTGCCAGCTCTGGGTTGGTCTCTCTCTTTACCATCCACGCTGCAAGCTCGACCCACGGTGTCTCTCAGTTGCTCCAGTGCACATCTCCCTGCCCCCAGAATGTTCCTAAAGCTCTCTTGATCTCCCCCAGGGCCATCTTTGCCAGCGGGGACCATGCTGGAGYGCTCACAGCTGATCCCATGAGCTCTGACCCCTCCGGCCGTGCCCTGGTCCAGCGGATGTGGATGGGACAGGAATGGTGTTGATGCCCAGCACTGGCACCCCCGGTGGGTACTGCCCCCTCAGACATCTCCTGGCACTCTGAGCACCCCTCTGCCTGCTTTCTGAAGCACCATTTATGTTTATTCATGTGTGCTGTTTATTTATGGTTGTTGTGTTTATGAGCCAAGGGCCATCCCATTTGCTCCATCCCATTTGCTGTTCACTAACAGAGGTGGGCTGGCATTGAGGAGGAGACTCACAAATGTCACAGAAAGGTCGTTTAAACCACGGTCTTTAATAATGAAAAATCAGGTTTGAAATAATCTGATCCTCATTTTTCCAGGCTGTAGGAACAGCTTTTCMCTAGAGCCTGATGGACATCTCCCAACTGTTTGCATTGGGGAGATTAATCGACTTTCAATTSAAATTCTTGTCTGTTGCTGTGAAATGTCAATTTTTATCTTGATTTAGAGCTGGGCACACACTTACTGAGAAATAAAACACACCGTCACATGGAAATGTGATTTTGGACAGTCCTGGTCAGCCTAAGGAAAGGTTTCTGCTCCCATCAGTGTGCTCCTGCTGCCCAGTTCCTCACAGCTGAATTTAAAGATGATGAGTCAGGCTGAAAATTAACCTTAATTCTGAAATCTAAACCGCAGTGGTTTTGTTGCCACTGTTGAGTCTGTTATTTTTCRAGCTCATTTATAAATTGAATAAATCCCAGAACTGAAAATCTGTTGTAAGAGCGTAGCAATTAAATACTGCCTTTTCCACCCTCAAATCCAGCTGTGTTGTGTGTTGGTGCCGAAGAGGGTTGGAGAGGTGGCATTAAATAGTTATTTAGGGATGTTAATAACATGCTTAAAATGTTTCCATCAAGTGCTTTTGGATGGGGCGATGCCATCTGTGTTACAGTTGATTTGGTTAATTATACAGACATGAATTCCTTGGGAGAAGGGATGGCATTGCTCTAGCAGCTTGTTTGTGAGCAAGAGAACGCAGTGACACGAGATTAAACTCATTAAATTAAGTCTGAAATATATTCCTCGCTAATAGTCCCCCACAAATTATGCTGAGTTGCTCCAGTTTAACAGATAATTTCGATAGGTGTGTTATTGGAGTTTATTGCAGRAACTCCAATGGATTTTTGTACTTGAAATATTGGGGCTTTTCTGA